GAGCTGCACAGCAGTTCCCTGGGCCACAGTCCCATGACAGGGGCGGGAACCCTTGGGTGGGTGCAGCCCTGAGCCCCGGAGGCTAACCGTCCTCCCTCTCTGCTCTTGCCCTTAGCGGCGATCCTGGAAGAACGCAGAGGACCGCATGGCACTGGCCAACAAGCCCCTCCGGCGCTTCAAGCAAGAACCCGAGGACGATCTGCCCGAGGCACCCCCCAAGACCAGGGAGAGCGACCACTCCCGCTCCAGCTCGCCCACTGCGGGACCCAGCACCGAGGGGGCTGAGGGCCCAGAGGAGAAGAAGAAGGTGAAGATACGCCGGAAGCGGCGGCTCCCCAACAAGGAGCTGAGCAGGGAGCTGAGCAAGGAGCTCAACCACGAGATCCAGAGAACGGAGAGCAGCTTGGCCAACGAGAACCAGCAGCCCATCAAGTCGGAGCCCGAGAGCGAGGGCGAGGAGCCCAGGCGGCCCCCAGGTGTCTGCGAGCGCCCCCACCGCTTCAGCAAGGGGCTCAACGGCACCCCCCGGGAGCTGCGGCACCAGCTGGGGCCCAGCCTGCGCAGCCCGCCCCGCGTCATCTCCCGGCCCCCGCCCTCTGTGTCCCCGCCCAAGTGTATACAGATGGAGCGCCATGTGATCCGGCCACCCCCCATCAGCCCCCCGCCTGACTCACTGCCCCTGGATGACGGGGCAGCCCACGTCATGCACAGGGAGGTGTGGATGGCCGTCTTCAGCTACCTCAGCCACCAAGACCTGTGTGTCTGCATGCGGGTCTGCAGGACCTGGAACCGCTGGTGAGCAGCGGCCCATGTCGGGCCCTAGGTTAAGGCTCAGGTGGCACCAGAGACAGCCTGTGTGTGTGGAGTCACTGGCGTTGCTCTTTCCGTCCAAGCCCCAGCACGGCTTCACTGTGCTCCGCAAAGTGTTTCAGCTGGCTACAGCAGCCCCTCTGGTCTTGTCACAGGAGGTGACCCTGTTTGCTCCCTGATTTAGCTTCCTGGAGGGTGAAGCGAGGACCACTTGGAGTCCTTGGCTTCCGAGAATTAGTCCAGGTTTCCAGCAAGGCTGCCAGTTGCAACTTGAGTCCCAGCTGATATTTACCAGCTTTCTGGCCGTAGCTCTGCCTTACCCTCTCGTGTGAACTGGTGTACGCCTGCCTCACGGGGTTGTTTGGAGGAACAGCTGGTAGAGGGCATTGTAAAGCCTGTGGTAAATACTTGATGGAGGCTGGGCACAGTAGCCCAGGCCTTTAACCCAACATGTTGGGAGGCCAAGGCGGGCAGATCACTTGAAGTCAGGAGTTCAAGACCAGCCTGGCCAACATGGTAAAACCTGTTTCTACTAAAAATACAAAAATTAGCTGGGCATGGTGGTGCAGACATGTAATCTCAGCCACATGGGAGGTTTGAACCTCTGAGAATTGCTTGAACCTGGGAGACGGAGGTTGTGGTGAGCAGAGATTGCACCACTACACTCCAGCCTGGGTGACAAAGCGAGACTGTCTCAGTAAGTAAGTAAATATTGTGGAGCGCAAGGGCCATGGCTGTCAGAGCAGAGGGGAGGTGCTGTGTGGGGGCAGGACGGGTACTACACAGAGAAGGGTCCAGAAAGCTGAGTTAAGGAGCTGCCTCTAGAGGTTGGTAGGTGGGGAGAGTTACAGCTGTGCACGGGCTTCCCAGAGGAGCCCCAACTCTGATGACGTATCCCCACCGGGCTGGTCCCTAGGTGCTGTGATAAGCGGTTGTGGACCCGCATTGACCTGAACCACTGCAAGTCTATCACACCCCTGATGCTGAGCGGCATCATCCGGCGACAGCCCGTCTCCCTCGACCTCAGCTGGACCAATATCTCCAAGAAGCAGCTGAGCTGGCTCATCAACCGGCTGCCTGGTGAGCCCTGGGCCAAGGGCCCGGAGTATGTCTGCTGCAGTGCGTTCTGGAGACGCATCCCCTGACCTGTGCTCCTTTCTGTGTTCCTTCCAGGGCTCCGGGACTTGGTGCTGTCGGGCTGCTCATGGATCGCAGTCTCTGCCCTTTGCAGCTCCAGTTGTCCGCTGCTCCGAACCCTGGATGTTCAGTGGGTAGAGGGACTAAAGGATGCCCAGATGCGGGATCTCCTGTCCCCGCCCACAGATAACAGGCCAGGTGAGTTGCCAGGCTGGCTGGGGGTTTCTGTTTTTAGCCCCAGACCCCAGCATGTCCTCCATTGTTCACCAGCCCCGGCCCTTCCCCAGAGGACAGAGGGATGAGTCTCTGCTGCTGTGTTCTCAGTTTGCTTCAGGCACAGAGGGAATCCGGGAGGAGGCAGCCTCTCCTGTGCACATGCGATACTCCTCCTGGGGGCTCTGCGCGTCTAACTGCTTTTCTGTTGACTTGCCCCTCGTTGGTTTCCAGTCTCCACCACCGTCAGGATCCGTGTGGTTGCGTGAGGGCTTCCAGGATGGCGCCTCCCCGCTGGGCTGGGCTGCCTAGGTCCATGCTTCTTGCCAAGCCACGGGGATCAGAGATGCGGTGCCGCCTCTGCACTGGTTGGCTTGGCGACTCCCGGGTAGAGTGTGGGCCTAGTGTTTCTAGGTCTTTTAGTTTTTCCAGAGAATCTGGAAGTCTAAGGTTTGATGTGGAGTCTGATTTTTAACTGTTGGAATTCTGATTTTGGGAAGAAGCAGTTGATAACTAAATGAAATCTGAGTGTTCTGTCTAGCTGGTGGCCCTTTTAGAGTGTCATGTCCATGTGACCAAGCCTCCTAAGTCAGATTGACAGGTTGCCCCCTCCTTCCTGCCCACCAGGTCAGATGGACAATCGGAGCAAGCTCCGGAACATTGTGGAGCTGCGCCTGGCAGGCCTGGACATCACGGACGCCTCCCTGCGGCTCATCATCCGCCACATGCCCCTGCTCTCCAAGCTCCACCTTAGTTACTGTAACCATGTCACCGACCAGTCCATCAACCTGCTCACCGCTGTTGGCACCACCACCCGAGACTCCTTAACCGAGATCAACCTGTCTGGTGAGTCAGGGGCCCCCAGCAGGTCTGCCCAACACTCCATGGGAGAGCCAGGAGGTTCACATTTGTGCAAAATGATTCGTGTGTCCACAAGTATGTGGTCGCAGTTTAGGTGCTGGAATGTGTCAGTAAACGCGGCAGCCCAGTCCAGAGGGGAAACACGTTAAACAAAGAGTTACTGTTAGAGTTGTAATAATTGCTACCCCAGAATAGTGCGGGGTAGCAGCCGGGAGCACACAGCAGTTGTTCCTGACCCAAAATACGGACAAGGGACAGCTTCCCAAGGGGGTGCAGAGGAGCCAGAAACTGACAACCAGGGTGTGGGGACAGCAGGGGCCGGGAGGCACAGGCCCTGGTGGGCAGGAGGGAACTTAGTCTGTCTTTGCCTTGCCATTGCCGCTCACATGCACCCCTTATGACCCTGCTATCAAGGGGCCTGTTGTTGGAGAGAAAAAGAAAACCCCACAGTTAGTTCCATTATTGTTCTGTGTCTGTGGCTCTTGTGGCAAAATCTTTACTTGCTCCTCTTGCTGGTGGGACGGGAGTTGGTTCTGAAGGACTTGGGGCTCCACTGTGCAGTGAGGTGCACGGAGCGATGCTGCCTGCTCTTAGCCCAACTAACCCGATTTTGGTCTGGTAGCTTAGGATGGTCTGGATTGAGGGGTGAGACCAAAAAAAGAAAGAGAAAAAGAAACTTAACGGTTTTTTTTTTAACCTTTGGAAATTACCAAGTACTAAGGACACCCCTATTTCATCCTCCAATTACATTTTGACACAGCACAGTGATGACGTGCACGTTGTTTTCTTTTCTGCCTCACACATTCATGCCTGATAACCTTTCTGTCCACCATGCCTCACAGCAGGGTCATGGGAGCTTTAGATGGGATGAGATCATTCAGGACCTAGGAAGCCATTCCTTCTCCTCATGAAGTTTCAGTGGCAGGGACTGTCCTGCCTCATGGAGGCAAGGAACCAGAGTGAAGTAAGGCCTCTCCAGCTCCAGGCCCAAGTTATGGGCTTGAATTGGTGATGGGCTGCCCTTTGAAGAGGGCCCGGGAGTCCTCTTACCCTAAGTGCTGATGTTTTATTAAATCTTTTCATTATATCCTGGTTTAGTTATTATGCATGCATAGGATATCTCAGTATAAATCCCCTCCTGCGGTGTGGTCCATGCTGTGTATGTGTGTGTGCAAGTCATCTTCTGCATTTTGTTTTTCCAGCATGATACACTGAGGTCATCTTTTCATCTCAGTGCATCAGCTCTCTGTATTCTTTGCTTTTTGTTTTTGTTTTTGTTTTTGAGACGGAGTCTTGTTCTACTGCCCAGGCTGGAGTGTAGTGGGGTGTGATCTTCGCTCACTGCAACCTCCACCTCCCAGGTTAAAGCAATTCTCCTGCCTCAGCCCCGCAAGTAGCTGGGATTACAGGCATCTGCCACCATGCCTGGCTAATATTTTATTTTTAGTAGAGATGGGGTTTCACCATGTTGGCCAGGCTGGCCTTGAACTCCTCACCTCAGGTGATCCACCTGCCTTGGCCTCCCAAAGTGCTGGGATTATAGGCGTGAGCCACTGCACCTGGCCTGCATTCTTGTTAAGAGCTGTGAAATAACTAAGATGTATCTCTATAACCTAGACTCTGCTAGATTTTCTTTAAAAAAAAAAAAAAAAAATCCCCTCATTGGTGTAACTAGTTGAATTACTGGTAAAATAAGCTTGTCCTGATGCAAGCACCAGAGACAGAAAGAAGTCTGTGCCACAAAATAGATGATGACATGCTTCAAGATCCTTAAACTTGGTTGGAGGATCTGGTCTCGTGATGAGTGAAGTCGCAATTCTAGCTGTTGTTCTGGCTGAATTCCATCTCAGAAATATTTATTGGGGGCTCAGGCAGCCCCTTGCCTTCCCCTTCTCCACCTCATCCTCACTACCTGAGACAATGCCTTAAGTGAGTTCTTTCTACCAGTGTTTACCTCCACATTCAAAATAGCAAGCCTAGTGCTCGTTTGGGCAGCCCATATACTAACATTGGAACAATACAGAGATTAGCATGGCCCCTGAGCAAGGATGACTTACAACTTCGTGAAGTGTTCCATATTTTTAATTCAAAACAAAATTTAAAAGATAGCAAGCCTGCACTGCAATTTCTTGATTTGTTTTTCCATATGGACATGATATATTTATTAGCTTGCTATTAATATAACATAAAGATTTATTACATTGTATCCCTCCCCCCCCCTTTTTCTCCCTCCCATCTTTTCCACTTTTCCATTGTCACTATTCTTTCACTTATTATGACCATGTTAAGTTGTTGGTCACTGTTTAGCCAAATAGTGTATTATGAGTACATTTTCTTTCTTGCTCAATATTTTTGTTGTATAAGTGAATTGCCTCATTTTGTTTGCTTAGTTTCTATGCAAATGGTATGCCACAAGTGAATGTTCTCTCCCCACCCCCATCAGTCTCTTGACCAGTTTTTGTAAAGAGACCTCCCTCCTGACTTCTTTTCCTCCCCTTCCCCCTTCTCCTCTGGGACTGGCTGCCCCGACCTGCTGCACTGCTGCCATCCTGGACTCCTTTGGGCTCTGTCTTTTCCTAGGTACCCTCCTTCCTTGATCTCACGTCTTTTCTCTTGGTTTACCCTCACATTCGGTGAGAGACATTTTCTAGACCGTGTGTGTCTGAATTTGTTTTTATTAAACCCTCCCTTTTAGTTGCTAGTTCTGCTGGGTATAGAACCCTAGTCTGGGGGCCCTTCTGCTGCAGAAAGTGCGGGAGGTTTTGCTCCACCATATTCTGCCTTCCAGAGGCAAGGTCCAAAACCATTTGATTCTTCATCTGTCAGTGAATCTATTTTCTTTCCTTGGAAGTTAATAGAAAATTGTCTCTAGTTGTCTGTAATTTTTGATGACAAACTGGTTTGAGTCCATTTCACCCACCGTAGAAGCCCTTCATTCTGGACATCTGTGTTCTTCAGTTGTAGAAAAAACTTACTGAATTCTTTCTTAACTTCCCCCCTTCTGTTTTCTCCTTCTGGACTAGTCCTCTGATTCTTCTCTTCTCTCCTAGTTTCCATGTCGGTATCTTTTTGCTATATTTTCGGGGAGTTTTCCCTTATTACTTCATCATACAGCTTAGGCACTGAGTTTTTCCATTTAAGCTGTTGTGCAGTTGAACCATAGGAAGCTGCTGTTTTTATAGGTCAAAAAAAGTCAAATGTTGGCAGTTTCACGTGGTTCAACTTACATTTTTAATTTTCAAACTGTATTCTCTGAACTTTTTGTGGAATGACCTGTTTCTTGGAGCCAGATATTTTCCTGAGGATGTTAATGATGGTTTTATTGTCTTCTCTGCACTGACTGTTCCCTTCACATGCTGTCAGTGGCCTTGGGAAGAGGCTCTCCTCAGCTTGAGTGCTGATACTTGCTTGTCCCCTCCACTCAAGGGTGATCAGAAACTCTGGGCATGCGGTTGGAGCTGGTCTGCTATGGACGACACTTACAGGATGGTCACTGTGGGTCCTTTCTTTGGAGAAACCTGGCCATTGGATCTTTCCATCTTCCTCTTAAGCTGGTCAGGATTGCCGGACTCTCCTTGATCTCATAAGGGGATAGGCTGGCCCACCATTGGGATGGCCAAGTATGGGGCTTGGTAGGGGAAGGAGCTTCTCAACAGCAGGTAAATTTCCTGTAGCCCCCACTTTTGAATGGGCACGCCTACTTTCTGTGCCTGCTGGAGCCCAGCCCATCAGAGACTAAAACCCCAGTCTTCTTCTGGGAAAGGAATCTGGACATCTTACCGCTCCCTGAACAGATTCTCAGCCAGTCCTCCTCACTAACACCATCTTGCAATGTACCTGTCACTTCCAGTACCTTAATTTCTAAGAAATCACCACTAAATACCTTGGAGACGTTCTGTAGAATAATTATTCTTTTATGCTTTCCTCTCAGCCACTTTAGGGTTAAGCTTTCTCAAGTCTCCCAAATTATTACCTCTTGTCCAGCTTCCAAAATTACAAAAATAATTATGTTTTAGTAAGATAATACATGACATAAAATGGACCACCTTCGCCATTTTTAGGCATACAATTCAGTGGCATTAAGTACAGTCAGTGTTTTGCAACTGTCACCAACATTCATTCCCCAGACTTTTTTTCTGTTTCAGAGACAGGGTCTCACTGTGTTGCCCAAGCTGGTCTCAAACCCCTGGACTCAAGCAGTCCTCCTGCCTAAGCCTCCCAACATGTTGGAATTACAGGCATGAGCCACTGCACCTGGCCTATATTTTTCCCCTTTTGTTGGCTGTGGTTTTGGTGTCATATCAATCATTGCAAAGTCTAATGTCATGAAGAATTTCCCCTGTGGGTTCTTTTTGAAATGAAGTCTTGCTCTGTCACTGAGGCTTCAGGGCAATGGCATGATCTTGGCTCACTGTAGCTTCCGCCTCTGGGGTTCATGTGATTCCCGTGTCTCAGCCGCTAGTAGAGAGAGGGTTTCACTGTGTTGGTCACGCTGGTCTCGAACTCCTGACCTCAGGTGATCCCCCCTGCCTTGGCCTCCCAAAGTGCTGGGATTATAGGCATGAGCTGCCGCACCCTGCCTTAATTTTTATATTGTTAGTAGAGATGGGGTTTCACCATGTTGACCGGGCTGGTCTCAAACTCCTGACCTCAAGTGATCCACCCACCTCAGCCTCCCAAAGTGCTGAGATTACAGGTGTGTGCCACTGCGCCCAGCCTACGTTTGCTTGTAAAGAGCTTCATAGCTTTACCTCTTATGTTTAGGTCTTGAATCATCTTGACTTAATTTTTTTATATGGTTGGTAGGTGTTCAGCTTATTTATTTATTTTATTTTGAGATGGAGTTTTGCTCTTGTTGCCCATGTTGGAGTGCAATGGTGCAGTCTCAGCTCACCGCAAGCTCTGCCTCCTGGGTTCAAGCACTTCTCCTACCTCAGCCTCCTGAGTAGCTGGGATTACAGGCATGAGCCACCACGACTGGCTAATTTTGTATTTTTAGTAGAAATGGGGTTTCACCATGTTGATCAGGCTGGTCTTGAACTCCCAACCTCAGGTGATCCATCCATTCATCCACCTCAGCCTCCCAAAGTGTTGGAATTAGAGGCATGAGCCACTGCACCCAGCAGTTTTTTTTTTGTTTGTTTTTTGCTTTTTTCTTTTTGAAACAGAGTCTCATTCTGTCTCCTAGGCTGGAGTGCAGTGGTGTGATCTCGGCTCACTGCAACCTCTGCCTCCCATGTTCAAGTGATTCTTCTGCCTCAGCCTCCCATGTAGCTGGGACTATAGGCACATGCCACCACACCTGGGTAATTTTTGTATTTTTAGGAGAAACAGGGTTTCACCATATTGGCCAGGCTGGTCTAGAACTTCTGACCTTGTGATCTGCCCATCTCAGCCTCCCAAAGTTCTGGGATTACAGGCATGAACCACCACACCTGGCCAGGTCTAGATTTTATTCTTTTGCATGTTGAAAACCAATTTCCCCAGCAACAGTTATTGAAAAGATACCTATTACTTCATTGAATGCTGTTGGCACCCTTGTCAAATATCACTTGACCATATATTTGAGGATTTGTTTCTGGGCTCTGATTCTTGTTTTTTGAAACAGACTCTCGCTCTTGTCACCCCAGCTAGAGTGCAGTGGCACGATCTTGACCCACTGCAACCTCTGCCTCCCAGGTTCACACGATTCTCCCACCTCAGCCTCCTGAGTAGCTCAGAGTACAGGTGCACACCACCACACCATGTTGGCCAGGAGGCTGGTTTTGAACTCCTGACCTCAGCTGATCCGCCCACCTCGGCCTCCCAAAGTGCTGGGATTACAGATGTGAGCCACCACACTCGGCCGAGCTCTTGATTCTATTGCATTGGTCTATATGTCTATCTGCATGCTTGTACCATGCTTTATTTATGAGTGAATGAATGACGGGCTTGCTTACTCTGTCCTCCAGGCTGGAGTGCAGTGGTGTGATCATGGCTCACTGCAGGCTCCAGCTCCCAAGCTCAAGTGATCCTCCCATCTCAGCCTCCCAAGTAGTTGGGACTAAAGGTGCAGACCACCATGTTTGGCTAATACTGGTGTTTTGTGTGTGTGTGTGTGTTTGTTTTGTTTTGTTTTTTGAGATAGTCTCACTCTGTCACCCAGGCTGGAGTGCGATCTCAGCTCACCACAACCTCTGCCTCCCAGGTTCAAGCAATTCTCTTGCCTCATCCTCCTGAGTAGGTGTGATTACAGGAGTCTGCCACCCTGCCTGGCTAATTTTTGTATGTTTAGTAGAGATGAGGTTTCACCATGTTGGCCAGACTGGTCTCCAGCTCCTGACCTCAGGTGATCCACCTGCCTTGGCCTCCCGTAGTGCTGGGATTACAGGTGTTAACCACCGTGCCTGGCCTGTGTTGGTGTTTTTTATAGAGATGGGGTTTCACTACGTTGCTCAGGCTGGTCTTGAATGCCTAGGCTCTAGTGATATACCCACCTCAGCCTCCCAAAGTGCTGGTCTTAGAGGCATGAGCCATTGTGCCTGGCCTACGTATTTTATTTGGATACGGGGTCTCACTGTGTTGCTCAGGCTGGAATCATACTCTTGGGCTCAAGTGATCTTCCACCTCAGTTTCAGACTACCCCAAGTTTTTCAACTTTGTTCTTTTCTTAGATTGTTTGGACAACTTGGGGTCCCATGCCTTCACATGAATTTTAGGATAGATTTCTGTAGATTTCTTTAGGCAGTGCTGACATCTTAATAGTATTAAGTCTTCCAATCCATAAACATAGGATGACTTTACATTTATGTCTAGTTTCTTTCAGCAATACTTTATAGTCTTCAGAGTACAAGTCTTTCCCTTTCTTGGTTAAATTTATTCTTGAAGCAAGGCATAATGGCACACACACTTTTAGTCCCAGCTACTCAAGAAGGAAGGTGATCACTTGAGCCTGGGAATTCTAGACCAGCCTGGGCAAAGTAGTACGATTTCTGATCTAAAGTATTTAAAGGCCGAGGGAGAAATGATGAGGATGTTAATAAAAGTGATGTTCCCCCATAGGCTGGTGGGCCGGCAGGTAGGCCCCCTGAACCAGCAGGAAAC